ACAATATATTTTATTTATTTTAGTCGCTCAAATGATAGTTTAATATTAACTTTATTAGGATAGTTTTTACAGAATTCCATTTAAAGTAATAGTTATTTAGTTATTTAAATTTTTAGTTTTTAATATAAACAGAGCTCAGACCAAGATACACAAGCACAAATGGCACCTCAGGACAGCTCAGGACGTTGTAACAACAACACAATATACAAACAAAGCCAAACAGACTTAATTTGGTAAAAATGCTCTTACTATATTAAAAGATGCCTATGTTATAGTAAAAGATGCCCATCCTATAGTAAAAGGTGTCTATCCTATAAGAAAAGATGCTCATTCCTTAGTAAAAGATGTCTAATCTATTATTTTAATTATTCTAAGGTGCCTATCTACTATCTGAAAGTGTTTATCCAATATCAAAAAATGCTCTTTCTATAGAAAAAAGTGCTCTTTCATTAATAAAAGATGCCTTTCCTTAATAAATTACTATGTTTCTATAGTAATTTAATATTCTGGAAAAAGATATTTAAACCTTTCACTTTTCCTAAGGCACAGGGACAGCTGGTCTGTTTACTTTGGTTATTCTACTCTTATAATTATATATTTTTGTCTTTGAAACAAACTTTGTATTGTCTTTGTTTTTGAATTTATATTAGAAATAAGTTTTATTTTTATATAATCTTTGTTGAAAATAAGTTCCTTTTCTGTAATATTTTTTTAGAATTTGTATTTTATTTTTACTGAGTTATATTTTTGCTTTATATAAGCAGATTAAATATAGTATAACTTACCCCAGTATTTCTATGTTTCTGAAAATTTTATTGGGATCAAATATAGTATAGCAAATTTTCTAGAAATGCTATTACGTGATAAGATGATCTATTGTATTATCTAACCTGAATTATTTGCTATCGCTACATTATACAAAAAAACCTTATTTGTTATAACCTTATTGTTATACAAATCCCAAGTTGAAAGTGTTACAAGATCACAAGTAATAGAAACTTTTAATCGTATTTAAGAAACTAGCATTTTACTGATCTAAGTCTATCCTGGTTGAGATCCCAAGTAGTAGAATATTTTAGTTGTAGTTAAGAGATCTGAGTTTTACTAAGCTAAGTCTGATCTGAAATATTTTATTGGGGTTTTTATTTTAAAAAAAATTAAGAAATCAGCGTTTTACTGATCTAAGTCTATTCTGGTTAAGATCCCAAATAGTAAAACATTTTAGTTGTGGTTAAGAGATCTGTATTTTACTAAGCTAAGTCTGATCTATATTATTTTATTGGGGTTTATTATTTAAAAAAATTGGAGTTAAAGTGTTAATACATTATTTGAAGTTAGCTAAGGCAGGTAATTATCTAAGAAATTTTAAAACTGCTATTTGCTACAGATACAAAATAGTACAAAACAGCCTTTATTAATATGTTTGAATTTTTTATATTTTAAAATTAAAGATTCTTGAAACTATTTTTTTAGAGCATAAGTATAAATATTAATTATATTAAGTGCAAAATTTAATTGTTTAATTTTAAAATTTTAAATCTTTCTCACGAAAGAGGAATTGAAGTGATATAAACGACTTTCAAGTACCGTCAGAAAATTTTACTGATAAGGGCATACTGTTAGAATATACATATCGGACGTTGCTATGAATATGAAATTGTTAGTAGATAAACTTATCCACAAGTATTATTCGATTAGAGCCCTATTATTAGTTATGCATCTTTGGCATTTATGAAAGTACTCACTTACATTTTTAACATCTTTAGGTACAATAAAAATTACCACCACAACGTTTAGGGTTTTTTCAGATTAAGGATACTATGAAAGTATTTTGGTCTAAAAATTTGCTTATAATCAAATTAATGAGTAATGGTTTTATGAAAATCATATCCCTTCTAATTTTTTTTTCAAGAACTTATTCATTGAGATTACATAGCGGTAGTATTTTACAAAATAGTTTACATACCACATATATTATATAGTTAGGACTTTCAATAAGGTTATAAAACTGAAGCTTTGAATAGATATCAATATACAACAGCATCAAGCATTTACTCGTTTGGAATAAAATGTAGAAAATCTTGTATAGAAACCTTGTATTTTATAATCAAAATTTTAAAACACAACTTCAAGTAGAAATATGCCAGAATGATTTATGGTCAACAATTATTGAGAACACACCACAACATTACATATACTAAGAAAGAAATATTGAAAAAGAAATCCAATAAATCGACTATCAACAATAAAGCTTTGTGAAATCAAATGGAATAGCAGAGTGATGAAAATATTTTATCAAATTAATTAAATTAAAAGAAAAAAATTGAAAAAGGTTAAGTACACGCAATTAAAACATACTTTAATAACATATTTACAAATATGAAATTTATAAACCCAATTTATTAAATATACTATATTACATTATTCAGGTAAATATTTTATAGTTTTGATAAATAAAATTAATTTATTTATTGTTTAGTATTAATTATAATTATTTAACAGATAACAGATTGATGATTTGAATATGAAGGGTTAATTTTAGATAGTTACTGATACTTATAGTAAGTGAATAATATTAAATTTTTTAAAAAATAATATTTATAATAACATATGAGGTCTTTGCCTTGAAAATCACATTATAGAACATATGATTTACTATATCTCATAATATAATTTTTAAGACAAAGACCCATAGTTTCATCGCTTTCATCATCACTATCTTTTCTATTTACATCTTTGTTTTCATTTTTATTTTCACTATCACTAACATCATTTTCATATTCTCTATTCTCATCTTTGCTTTTGTTCTCATTATTTCTATTATTACTATTATTATTTTCATCATCATCTCTATCTTCATCCTCTTCGTATTCATTATTCTCATTATCATTATCATCATTTTCACCCTCTTCTCTATTTTCCACTTTTGCATTTTCTTCATTCTCATCATTATACTCATCTTCCCCTTCATTTTCTTCATACTCTTCTCCTTTATTCTTTTAATTTAATTAATTTGATAAAATATTTTCATCACTCTGCTATTCCA